TTTCTGAGCTGGCGCGCGTGACGCCTGTGACGGAAAGCGGGCGAACGGTTCGAGTGGGCGTGCTTAAGTTAAGTCGTTTCCTGGCTGGTGGGTGTCAGCGCAAAGTGGCGGGGTGCCAGGGCCATGCAAGCCTTCTTGGCAGGATGGCGTTTCGCTGCAAGCCAGGGAGGTCACTAACGGGCACTAACCCCTCCGAGTCACTGAGCATGCGGCTTGGCAGCTGAAAGGGGGAGCAATCGGACAGTCGAAGCCATGTGCAAGATGTGAACTGCTGCTATTCTAGGGCTCCTTGCGAAGTGTCTTTGACAGGCCAGAATGGCCAGGGAGCAAGGGGTTTTGCTCTCGTCCGGCTCCGGTGGTACCAATAGATGCCCATGATGCCCAGCCGGTCACAGAAGTCGTAGCTACTGACGCCGGGTCAAAGGGCGGTCAGAGGGCTTGGCGGCTTAGCTTGGCTTAGGCCCTAGCCAGAAGCGATTGAGAGAAAGAGCCCTTGGGGCGGTCGCGTTCCTCTTGCTACCTCTGGCATTTCTCACACGACACACGCTGCCATCAACCCAAGCCCTGGCATGCAACACTTACAAGCCATGCCATGGCCTTGCCTCGGCACACCTGCGTAGGGCCCCAGAGGTGCCACGAAAATGACCCTAAGAGTCCATGTACCTCACTACTACATACTTGGGCCCCAAAGTCCCTACTTGAAGGCCCAAGTATTCCCTATTTGGGTACATGGACCCTTAGGGTGAGGCAAAAGATGCATCTCCACAACTGCTCTCCCGGAGGATGCCATGACACGTCGCCCCGCTGGCACCCCCTCGAATCCTGAACGCCCGCGCGCGCCCGCATGCCAGGCTCGCCGGCCGCGCGGAGGACGCGCCCTGCACCTGTGCATACTTGTGACATTGTGCCGTTTATTACCAGGATGGGCGATCATGGGCCTTATATTCCCCATAATCAACCCTGTAAAGGGCCTCTTTAGGGTTAAGGGGGTTATAGGGAATAATGGCCTGTCCTTGTATGGGGTTTGCAGATGTCGCAGGGCCAAGAAGCTTTGCACACCAAAGGGCAACTCCTCCTTGCTCGAGGGGTCGGTCGAATGGCAGCAGTTGCTTGACGGGTCCTAAACCCTAAATCCTAAACCCAAACCCTAAACCCTATACCCTAAACCCTGCCGCTCGAACTGAGAGTTGCGAGCCACCCCGGGAGGGCGTCTCTGCGTTGTGCTACCGTGCATCCGCCCTGTAGATCACCACTTCAAGCACTGGGACGTAGTGCCGCTCATGGCGGGCGGGAAGGTAAGCCATCGCAGCCAACGCAGGAGGTGCAGGAGGAGGTAAGTCGCTGGGACAGGCTACCGGGGTTGTGGGATATGAAGAGAGGTGGGATTGTGGCCTGGTTTCGTTGAGGTTGTGGCCTGGTTGTTGGGCTGCGGAGGTGGCGGCCGGGGTTTTGATGCCCTGTCAGCTGCCAAACTTGCTGGTGAGCCCGCTGGCCATTTGAGGTCTCTTGATTCCCGCCCCGGCAAAGGTTCCCCCCAGAGGGGCCCTGCTCAAGTTCGCATGCTCTGGAGCCTCTGAATTTTTTATAATTATGGCGTGTAGAGTACAGGGAACCCTGCATCCCCTCAGTCAGATGCCTCTGCAGATGCTTATGGGCTCCAGTTGCCAAAAAGTCGACGCGATTCAATGAGTGCAGAGCTCACAGGTTTCCAGTTTACGCTAAGACCTCTGAGATTTGTAGGGGACAGGCGCTTATTGCTGGGCACCCGTCGTTGAACTACCAGGAGGAACAGCTCACCAAAGGGCTTCGCGTCTATGTACTCAACTTCGCAGACATGGGGGTTTACGAAATAGGGGACCCCCAATCTAGATCCCCACATAGTAGGATCCCCTGATTATATTATCAGGACCACAAGAAGGTACCCCTACTTTCGGAAACCGCCCCATATGAGCCCTTCACCCTTGCGAATTTCATAAGTGCCATCAGGCCTTCAGTGCTTCTACAGTTTAGGGCGCTGGGCGAACCTTCTAAACCTCAACTAAGTTTGTAAGGCTTGGTGGTTGCTCCAGGTTGATCTGAAGTAGGGCTCCTTCATGAGGGTCCGTTCTGCGAAAGTTCTTTTGCAAAAATGTCCCTAAACCCGATACCCTAAACCCTAAACCCTAATTGCCTAGTGCCTCGCTGCGCCTTCCGGTGTGCTCAAGAAACCGAACCCTCGATGCATGCCAGCCATGCTTGAATAACCCTAAACCCTGTGCCCATGCTTCATTGTGTGCAGTCTCTACCCAGTCCATTGCCCAGTGCTTTTGCTTTTGGCCATTGAGTAAGGGGCCTTTTGCCGGTCCGTCCGGTTTTGGGTCGTTCGGAGGGTCAGAAAGAATCTGATTTTGTCGGAGCCCACGGATGTCCCTTGCCTCCGGCATGTCTGGCCCTGCGGACGCTTCCCGTGTAGAGCTGCCAACGCGGAGACCAAGCCCTTGCTGGCAATAGACCTTCAACTGTCTAGAACTCGTCTGTCTGTTGTCAAAGCACCAACCCGCGCGCACGCCACGACCTGCTGGAGAGGAGGGGAATCAATAATCATGGGATTAAGGAATAGGTTCCTCCAGAGTGATCCGCAGGATCTTCTTCACAACCCTCTTCATTTTCCCAGACTCATGGTGTGATCGAGGTGGGGGGACATCAGCTGCTGCAAGGAGAGCTAGAGCCCGGAAGCCCCAGAAGCTACCTGACCCAGACCCACCAGTGACGCGGTAATTCTGTGGAAGCCACCTGCGCTGAAGTGCGCTCGAAGATCTCTACGCCGCTACGCAGCCTCCTGAACTCTTGGCATCCAGTCACAGTGTCAGGGACTTGGAGGCTCTCTTGGGCCTTAGGGGCATCGAGGGGCTTTAAGGTTGTACGATCCTTCAGGAGTCTGAGCTTCTTGGAGTTCAAGTTGGCCCTGTTTCCGGTCCCTTTTGGGTCGTCATCTCTAGCCGCACTTCCCTGGGATGCTGGTCTTTCGGATGCTTGTCTGTGACGTCGGCTGCCTTCCCGCGCGCTCAAACACAAAGCAATGTCAGCCACCTCACCAGCACTTCAACGAAGTAGATCCCAAGACCCCAACACACTTCGCCGAGCTACCTGCTTCGCATTGCTCGGCTCTCCCACTCTTGGCTCCGTGCGCCTAGTCCTCTGAGGCTGGCAGCCGGGCTGTGACGGAACGCAGTCGTCGGGTCTGGGGCCCCTCCCTACCATCCTGGAAACTGGGCTCGCTTTCCATCAACACGCAATACGAAAAAACTGTTCTGAATGATGGTTTACTTCTTCCAGTGCCTGAAGTAAGGTGGACGATGTCGTGATGGACCAGAACTTAGAACCACCCCCACATCATCAGGCTAACTTCGTGGCCCTGCGTCTCATGCAGTTTCCCGACTGAAGCATCCCGAAATGTTTTGGGTCACGGATGTCGGGACAAGCTGGCAGTCGGATGCCAGCTGCTCGGAAAGCACGGCGTTGCCCCCTTGCGCGGCCCTGCTGCAGGGGCTTCCATGCCTGCAACGCGCGACTCTCAACCCTCAAAGCCCCAGCGCCGAAAACCTCCTGGCCCGCTCTCCTTAAAGCTTGGGACAGGAGCCTACACCAGAGCTTAAAAGACGCCAGAGGTCACTTGAAGCGGCTTCTGCCGAGCGTGCCTCTGTGAGGAAGGAGGGCGGCCTTTGAGTCATTGGGCGCACAGTTCAGGGCCAGGCTTATGAGGCCTTCCGCCCGGTAAAGGGCTAAGGCCAAAACCCTTAGGGAACTGAGGCCTCGTAAGGTGCGGAGTGTAGCGGAAGGCGGTGCACGCGCCGGTTCGCTGCGCAGGTGCCCTGTGCACATAGAGAGGCCAAAAGCTCCGGAGCCTTTCAGCCCCCGACTCCTCGTGCAGTTATTCACCCGCATAGGCCTAGGCACCTATTCCACCCATTCAGAGGATCGGCAGATCCGCGCCCAAGTGGCTTGCAGAGCCACCAGCGAAGCTTGAGCACCCCAATTCCCGATTGCGGTTTTCACCTTCCTTTGCCGCAGGTGCAGTAACGGCTGTTGTGTCACAGCACGCGACGCCGATCTGGTGTTCATCACAAGATGACCGACTACGGAGCAGGTCGCAAGTCGACGCGACATCCGCTGCACTTGAGGTTGCACCATCTCAGCCCGCAACTTCATTCCTTTGATGGGCTCCAAGCGCCTGTTTGACATCATCGGTCATTGCTTTGCCCAGGTTGTGGAGTGCCATGTGTGAATTGACAACCAAGGTCTGCTTGACTGCCGCCCAGGGCAAGGGTGCAAAAAGCAGAGCTGGCATGATCGTAACGGCTTCAAAGGCATGCGCCACCTGCTTGAAATAGCTTCGCAGCAGTGGAGAGGTGTCACTTGCGCAACGCACAGATGTGGGCGGTGTCCAAGCCTTGGCACATCCTAAAACCCTGAGAGGCCCTACACCGCCTAAACCCCTTGTTGGAGGCACAGTTTTCAGCCAGCAGATGACCCTGCATGGGGGTTGGCAACGGCAGAGGAAGACGCAACTGAAGCTTTCTTGCATCCAAAGTCTGTGTCCCGTCTACATGAGGTGTGAGGGTTTAGGGTTCAAGGGTCGTCTCCACAGCCGGCTTTCAACGCTTTCTGTGCGCGTGCGACTGCAAGGGGCCGCTCCAGGTCAGCCGGCCTCCTGCGCGAAGCATTATACACAACTCAACTAAACCCTCAAGTTGCCAAGACCCCAATCGCGCAGTCCGAGCCTGTGCGGTGCGCCCCCGGGCGCCTACCATCACCCCGAGCCCCTGAAACGAGGCTGACAGGCCTTAAAGTCCTAAGCGGAGTAGCTGGTGGCTTCTTCCGCATTGATCATCTGTTCTCCTCGCAGTGGTCTCAAGAACCCTGAGGCTAATCTCAAGACCCGTTTGGGTCCTCTAATCCTTGGACATGTAGAAGAGCGACTTGCGCTTGCTTCGACGGTTCCGCTTCGGACCGGTTCCCAGCTATTTGGAGCCCTTTGCCTTTGCAAAACGAAGGCTCTGACAGTCCCTGAGAGTTGTCAGGTCGTTCCAAAGCCCCTGTGACCACTCACATGAACACCATGGCGAGTATAACGGCCCTAAACCGTAAAAAGGCTGCAGCCCGGAACCCATCACATGGCAATCCTTGCAACAGCGGCCGGTCCAAATCCGCAGCCTTTGCAAGGAAAGGAGCCCAAAGTTGAGTGTGATGCGGCCAGAGCCGTGGCGGCTTCCAGCTGAAGCCCCGGGGATTTGGGCCTTCTTTTCGATGCATGCCGCGCCATCCCAACAGGAGCTTGGCGTTGTTTGCTTGTGCCACATCTGCAGAGTCAGATTTCGGCCGTGAACAGGCGTAGGCGTAACAGCTTCCGTAATCGTCTCACAGTCGTCGGTCACATGCTCGCGAAAGGTCTCCAGCACCCGGTGCACGCATGCAGTGCAGACGACACAGATGAAGAGATGCCAGCTGTTCCAGATGCAGATGTAGTTGGCCTCCGTAGCCTCAGGAGGAGCCTCCTGGACTTGCTGCAACGCTGCCACCCGCGCGTGCAGGCCTATTTTTCGCATCTTCATGCGGTGGGAAGTCACCCGACCTTGGGATGACGTCTTCGAATTTGTTGTGCAGGCAGTGCACCAGGCCCTCCAAAGGGCTGCGTGTCCAGTCAAGCGGGACTGAATTGCGGCGAATATCCAGGAAGCTGCGGGGCATAGGCTGCAAAAAGGCAGCCCAGGCTCACAAACCCGTTCTGGGCCACGAACTCCGAAACCATTTGCCCTGTGGCGTTCCTGGGGCTGCATGGAAACATCCCATTGGACATCAACAGGACGGAATCCGAAGCTCGATTTAGAGCAGGAAGCTTTTCAGATCCTGAAGTTGACACACCTTGCGCACGTCAAGGCTGCTAGGCTCAGTAACTGTAGCATGGTGGCTGCGCGCAGAAACGAAGGATGTGTGTTCTTGCAACTGCCGATTGCCACGTCTGGCAGCGGTTAGTCGTGGGCGTGTAAGTCCTGCCATGCACAAAGTAGCCAGTGGACCAAGATGTGGAATCAACCGCAAGATTCGCAAGGTTCTACACGTAGCGCCTTGGCGTTCTTGGGGGGGTGGGCATTGCAATCACTCACTGCCCCTGCTCAGCTTCGAAGGCTTCGCAAAACGTCAGTTAGGCTGTGGGGCTCCGAGGTTGAATGAGCAGCGCTCGAGCCCCTCCCTCATATTCAGGGTCACCACAGCTCCGCCATTTAAGAGGCCCTTTGTGTTGGCAGATTATGATGATTATGGTGATGACTGCCGGCTCCGCCCACAAGCGCCTGCACCCCGAAACCTCCCTCTTCGTGAAGCCTTCGTAGCCTCAATCCAAGAATCCAAGAATCCAAGACTCAAAGCTTCGAAGGCTGCTTAAGCCCACAAAGCTCATGAGCTGTTAGGGTGGCTTTTGGGGTTTGATCCCACCGCAGTGCGCTGAGCGCCTCTCAGGGCATGTGCAGTGTGGGAGTTGAAGAACCTATGAGGGGGGAGGCTGAGGAAGGGAGGGATCCCTCCTTGACGCCACAGAAGCAAAGGCAGGGGGCTCTGCGCCCAAAACCCCACGGCTCAGCTGAGTAGACTGCTGACATGTTGGGAGAGAGGACTGCCTAAGAGGTACTGTGGTTTGCGGAGGTGGAGCAATCCTCATGGAAGCACTCCGAACGGAGCTCTTCCCACAAGAGACCGGAGGCCCCTGCGGGCACCGAAGAAGGAGAGAGAGGAGAGCCCTTGCTCGGCCAGCAAAGGCTCGATTCAACTCAGACTCAAAGGGGCTGCTGGCTCAGATGGAGGAAGCCCATGCAGAAGGAGAAAAAAGCACACCTGCGGGGCGCTTATCGGTTCATAGCAGCCACTGGACTTGAATCCTTTGCTAAATACCCTCAAACCTCAAGGGCCCTAAGCTGCCCTCAAAAGACACCACTTTAGGCACTACTAGCCACCGCTGTGGTCGTTCGCCTTGCATGTGTTTGTTTTGATCAAGCAGGCTGGAGTTTTGAACGTGGGGTCGTATTTCGAATGCACGACGTGTACAGAGTTTGCCGGGTTTGGGAGCTTTGCCCTTGTCTTTGAATACGAAATAGGGGACCCCCAATCTAGATCCCCACATAGTAGGATCCCCTGCTTATATTATCAGGACCACAAGAAGGTACCCCTACTTTCGGAAACCGCCCCATATGAGCCCTTCACCCTTGCGAATTTCATAAGTGCCATCAGGCCTTCAGTGCTTCTACAGTTTAGAGCTCTGGGCGAACCTTCTAAACCTCAACTAAGTTTGTAAGGCTTGGTGGTTGCTCCAGGTTGATCTGAAGTAGGGCTCCTTCATGAGGGTCCGTTCTGCGAAGGTTCTTTTGCAAAAATGTCCCTAAACCCGATACCCTAAACCCTAAACCCTAATTGCCTAGTGCCTCGCTGCGCCTTCCGGTGTGCTCAAGAAACCGAACCCTCGATGCATGCCAGCCATGCTTGAATAACCCTAAACCCTGTGCCCATGCTTCATTGTGTGCAGTCTCTACCCAGTCCATTGCCCAGTGCTTTTGCTTTTGGCCATTGAGTAAGGGGCCTTTTGCCCAGACTGATGCCGCCGCTTCTTGCAGAACACCATGCTGGCGCTTCCTCGGCTTGATCTTGCGCTGCATCTTGCGCTACTTGCCATCGCCCTCATCGCTGCGCGGGGCCAGGACGCTTTCAGGGAGGTGCGGGTCCTACACTGACTCATGGGTTCCGCTACTACCCCCCCTCTATACTACCCCCCCCGCCCCCCACCTAGGTTCCCCCTGCATAATTACGGCTATTTATAGGGGATAATTAAGCTGAAGTACGGCTATATAAGGAGGGAACCTAGGAGTAGTATAGAGCGGGGGTAGTAGGGAACCCATGATACGCCGCAGGCCAACAGCTCAACCCTACGAAGTCGAAGCTGCACCAATCCCTAAATCCCTAAAAAGAGTTTAGGGTTTAGGGTATGGAGTTTAGGGTTTAGGGTTTAGGGAGTCCGAAAGTCTCCCTGTAAACCTCCCCACCCCCAAAGCCCCGCAAACACCCCACAGCAAGCCCTAAACCCCATACCCCCCTTCCCCTTAACCCGAAACCCGAACCCGAAACCCTAAACCCCCAAACATCCCGAAGACCTCCACCCAAAACCAGTCCTGAGGAGAGCTCCGTGCCGCCAGACCCCCCCCCCTGAGGTGTACGGGGCGCTACGGGCCTACCAACACACAGCAGTGCAAGAGGCTACAGCCCGCAGGACTGTCCGCACCTTTTGACAGCACTCGCACGGTATACGACTTCGTGCAAGGAGTCTCATCTACAGAACCCTGTGAGCCAGATATGTGCAGCACAGTCAGAGTTCATGCCAGGACATGTACAGAAACAACCAGGCACAAATTTAAAAACTGAATGTACTAGCACTGCCGTTTTGTCGGCTTTGCTGGCTCCAAGGTGTATAGCGGAAGCAAGAAAAGTATATACAAAAACTTGCAGAAACGCAGTGGAAACACCTATGCCAAAAGCTGAGCGAATGCAAAGATCTGCTGTTTCAGGATTGCGAAACGATCAAGCATCACCGGCGCAAACGCTATGTACAGCTCACTGACTAGAAGACGGAAACTCGAAATTGCGCAAAGGATCAGCGAAATGAAATTCAGGCTTAAAGTTCAAAACTTCTCACCGTCTTCACGGTCGCTCCCTGTCTTGAGAGACAGCATGCAACAGGTAAAGACTACTGGAAAACATTTGGTATCACCTCTGAGAAGATGTATCCAGTAACCCAGGAGAAAAATATGGCATGTCAGGATGCCAATGGCACAAAATGTGCGCAAGTCTGGACCTCGGAAACGCCTGACGGATAAACTATGTACAGTGGAAAATTAAGCTTAAGACTGTGTGAAACGGCATTCACCACCAGCCTTTCCAGCCCTTCTTTCCGCCTTTCTGACCCTTGCCCTTGCCGGTGCCGTAGTCCGTGTAGTAGGGCTCGTGGTACTGGTAGCGGAGAGAAGGCTTTCACTTGCTTTTCTGTTTTCCTTTTTCCTTGCCAGTGTGGCCTTTATCTTTGCCACCCTGGCCTTTGTCTTTGCCATAACGTCCTTTTTCTTTCCCTTTCGATCCTTTGCCCTTAGGTTCTTCTTCATGTTCTTCGTCTTCTAGAGCGTCTGGATCATATGCTCCTTGAGATCGCGCAAAGCGTACCATGAAAGATATGCCTCGTCCTTTTCCACATTTTGCTTTTCCCGCTGCGAAGGCACTCAAAGCTCCCCTGAGGAAGTCAACATTGCCCTCGAGATAGGGATCAATCTCGTCTGAGTCCAGAAGGTCAGCAACATCTTGGGAATCTTGAAACTCCAGAGAGATTCCAGTTCCAGCTGGTCGTTCATGGACTCGTCGACGGGCAGGAGGAGGTCCTGTCGGTTCAGCTGGTCTGCGAGATCCCGATCCGGAGAGACCGCTTTCTCTTTGACCAGTTGCGGAATCACGTGCTGGTGGATTAGCCTTAGGCTCTGCGGGCCTGCTGGATTCCGATCCTGAGGGACCGCTTTCCAGATTGGGCGTAAGCCTAGCCTTTGTTTCAGCCGTGACTCTTCTGGCACCAGACGATGACACTCCTTCTGCGGTGGAGGATGAGGCTGCTTCAGTTGTGGAGCCATGCTTTCCCTCAATCTTTCTCTCCTTCTGCTTCTGCTTCCTCTTGTCCACTTGACTCTTGCGAGAGAATACTGACAGGTCTTGCTGTCTTCTCGCACCCCTCGACAACTGGTTCCAGGACAAGTAGAGCAAGAGTGGAGAATGTGAATCGTGGTCCTTATCCGGCAACATCCAATGAGACTTGGAAGTATGCAGAAGAAATTCGGACACTCGGAATCGGTATTCATGAGAACCACCATCATGATTCCTCCAACGATCATCACTGAGAGAATGACCCCATTCTAGTACGCATGCCACAATGCAGTCGATGCCTGGAAGTTTGTTGTAGTCCTCGGTGGTGACCTGATCGTAAGGCACGCTGTAGACTCGCTCGTACAGGTCCAAAACCTCAATAGGATTGGCACTGACGAAACGTGGTCGTGGTGCATGCCGTGGATCAGAGGTCGCCTTCGAGTGGGCGTTGCAGAAGTATCGAACCTATGACTGAAAGGCTGATGACTCCTGACAACAACTTCCCTGCTTCAATCCACCAAACCTGTACGCCGCCATATTGCCGTCTCCAGCAATGATGTCACACTGAAAATGGAAAGCATCAGTGAACATGACAGCCAGGGCCTCATTGGTGATTCCCGGCTGCTTGGAGGCGACGACGTTGTGTAGGTGGAAATTGCAGATCCTGACCGTGTTCAGGTTGCATCGTTCAAGTGGCAACTTATAGTCACTTTCCTGATAGTTCCCGCGATCCGTGTGCTCTAGGACAGCTTCCTCGTCGAGATTGGCTTGCTCTTGGCCAGAGGATTCCCGTTCTGAGAAACGGCTTTCCTGCTGGCTGAAGACAGTAGCCATGTTCGAGGGATGTTCTCGAATCTGACTCACATCAACTGTCCTGCCAAAGCAAACTTCGAAGATGGACCAACTAAGGGGTTGTGTTTCATGAAGTCCTGCTGGGAATTGATTTCCACCAAGGATCTTCACATGTGCCCCGGGTCAATTTACTCTGGCACCAACCAGGAGGTCCTTCGCCTCATTTGTGGCGAGGAGATATCCCTTTGTTTCGAGAAATCTCCACTCCTCTTGAGAGATAGTCGAAGCCTCCTGGAGGACAATGATGTTCGCAGCGACGTTCGCCAAAAACATGATAAACAAGCTGATGTTACCTTCGCTGCTATCGACGAGGTCGGCCTTGAACTGGGCAGGGACGAAGCTTTTCCTTGCCCTGGAAAAGTCTCCCAAGTTCAAGACCGCCACTCCCAAGGCACTCTTGGTAGTGTAGACGGGAGGAGTCTCTGACTCAATCTGCACTTGAGTCCCACCTGCCAAGAAAAACTCAAGCAGTTGGATAACGAGATCCTTCCTGTCCAGATCGCCGTCCTTGAGCATATTGAGCAGACTCTGCTCGCGGGTCTCCATCTCCTCCTGGATCTCTTGAGCCTTGGCGAGAGCTTCCCTACTCTGAACAGGACGAACGTCGTTTGATACAAAACGAACGTCCTTCTTTGATGGGAGCGTCTCGGACAGCGGTAGGAGCTGATTCATGCTGTTAAAGAGTGCCGCCTCAGTCACATGATACTTGTGATGAGGCTGAAGGTCTGCATTTCGCCGCCAAAAAGCATGAGTCAAAAGTGCCAGCTTCTCATCGGCCTCTCTCAAACCGCAATGATAGCTTCCAGAGGCATTGTAGCCGTTCTTCTGGAACTTCAGCTGTTCAAGGGGTGACTTGGCCCTTTCGAACTCGAGGACCTTGTACGCTCGAACAAACTTGAGGAGGTCCTCCACCTTGGACTCTCTATATTCAGCCTTCGTCATTGAAGCGATGAAGGTCTGATTCTGGTCCTTGGCAAGGAGACATCCTCAGTTTTCCCTACCTTCTGCATCTCCTCCAAGGTTTTACAAGCCAGTTCATCAACGACTGCGTCTGTTTCACCCCAGACACCCTGAGAAAACTTCTCAGGTTTAACAGATACCGATCCTGAGGGACCGCCTTTTGTTTTTCCCGAAGACGCCAAAGGTACCTTTCCTGAGGGAAAGCTTCCTTCTGAGTCAACGTCCATGGGCGTTGATTCCTGTGGCTCGACCTTAGTGGAGGATCTTGGCTCATCAACCTTTTGGATCTCACCTTGGACTTTGGTTTCTGGCTGAACACTCAACACCTTCGGCTCTTCAATGTTCGCAGTGGCCTGTGCCTCATGAGATTCAGGTACCAGTCCTGTGGGACTGCTTCCGTCATCATAATCAGGCTCCTCCTTTTTGACTTCAAGGAATGCCGATCCTGAGAGACCGCTTTTCCCTTTTAGGTCAAGATCAGGAGGATTGGCCACGACCTCTACCAGTTCCTCAAGAATTGGCCCAGGCAGCATTTCGAGGTGCTCCTCGAGAATGTGATCTTGAAGTGGAGTCCCCAGAAGTTCATCCAACTTCGCCTGGGATGCCGCCTTGTAGCCGACATAGTCCTTGAGGTCCTGCAAGGCCTTGAGTGCGAACTGCGAGCGGAAGGCTCTGGTGGGATCTGAACGAACCACCGCCTCATATTTCCGCAACGCAAGAGCGTGCTCGAAAGGCATGTTGAGCGAACAATTAGTCAGAGTAATCTTCTCTGACGATGGATCCATTGCATTTGAGTACATACTCGCTGTAAACTGCCGTCTCCAAAGTTCATCGTCATCATCTTTTTCTTCATGAGACAAGCAGTATCCCAGAAACTCTCTGCCAAGGACATCCCGAAGCATGTCCAGGAGGTTGTCGAAATCAGTGACTATAGACCTCAGCTCTTCGTGCTTTCTCTTGAGATCCTGGTACTCAGAGTACAACCTCATCTTTTCGTCGTAAGCGACGTCGTCTATGTGAGGAATCTCTGGCACCATCTCCGGCAAATTAGGAAAACCAACTTCCCACTTGACGTACTTGCGGACCACCTGCATCCACCACTGAGCAGTCTCACTCTGGAGGAAGTGAGAGTACGTCTCCCTGATCTGCGGAAGATCTGGAATCTCGGAGACATAATTGATCTCAGCCAAGAACTTGCTCTTGAGATTCTGCTCAGCGTGCAGGGTACCCATGATCTTCGCGTGCCTCCAGGCCTCTGCAAAGAAGAAAACGGGATACCCTGACAACGGATTCTGGATCCACTTTGTGGGATCTTCGCCGCACGACTCACGAAGGGCTTCACTAAGGCAACAATATAGCGTCACAGCAATCAAAGGATCACCGTATGCGCTCTTCTGGACTTGGCCATTAGTGTCCTGCAGTTGCAGGGTGCCGCGGTCGAGAAGGAACCAGGGGTTCGAAGACACCCTGGAAACCCACTCTGCGTCCCAGACCTCATGCACATAGGAGACATGGATCTCTTCATCCTCGGACGCCAACTGGGCTGATCTTGACTTGCCCAGAATCTCTGCGGCGGCCCTTCGAGCCTCATCCTGCTCAATGAGTTCGCGAAGCTCTTGCTCAGAAAACTCCACAACTTCACGAGGAGCTGTCATGGAGACACCAGTGGATTCCGATCCTGAGGGACCGCTTTCCACTTTAGGATCTGAGCTTGAGCCTGCCCCAGATACCACATCTGAGAACGTGCGTTCTGGGCGAACTTGTGTAGAGCTTGAGGCCTTTGGCTGAGTCGACTTCCTTGGCATGGCTTTCTCTTTCACAACTCTTGGACCTGCTGGTGGGGGACACTGCCTTTGAGAGTAGGAGCTGTAGGGAGGACTCTTGTAAAGAATCCCCTCAGCATTTCGTGTCCCTTCAAGGTTTAGTTTCTTCGAGGGAGCCGAACCTGTGTATGTCTCTGGTACCTTTCCTGAGGGAAAGCTTCCAGTTTTTCCACCAGGTTCCTGTCCTTTTCCAGCATTAGGTTCCTTTCCTGAGGGAAAGCTTCTTTTTTCACCAGCACTGGGTTCCTTTCCTGAGGGAAAGCTTCCCATGCTCTGCGTGACTGCTGAAAATGGCTCACCTTTTGGAACCTTAGTGGTGAACTTCAAAAACATTGATGGGACATCCGAGGGACAGAGAGTGACGCCATTGCGGCTGATGAACAACCGATTGTTTCCATAGGATAGGAAAGACTCCACATCCAGGATACAATAAAAGATGTTGTCACCTGTTCTCACAGCCGTCCCTGGACCAGGAAGAATAGTCCCACCATTGTAGGTGAAGTGGATGGCCAAGCGGCTTTCAAAGCTGGGATCTCTGCGGACAGCGTCTACACGAGGGCCGTCAGTCCTGATGGACTGATAGTTGTCCACCGTAGTGGCGTGAAAGACGCTGCCGTACTGAGCGGCCTGGTCAGCGACGATTTCCTCACCAAGTGAGGTAACGTCAGCATTAGGCGCAACCCTGGTGTGACCCTGGGCGCAACCCTGGGCGCAACCTACACGCACTTCCAGATCCCATTGGGAAAGAGTATCGAACCAGACCAATCTTGGTCTGATTGTGATACTCATCCTGCCCTTGGAGTTTCCAAGGATGAAAGCCAGGAAGTTCAGCGGCTTATAGCTGTATGGAGTTCCTCGGTCACCAGCTTTCTCGATTTCCTTGATGTTAACTGTGTGGTCCTGAGGATCCATCAGCTGTGGATTTATGCCGTGCCGGAGGAGCCATGAGTATACGTGCTTGGAAATTTTGTTCGAATGCGAATTGATCTTCGCATTGTAGGCCTTTTCGGTCCTAACAAGACTTCTCAGAGCTTCTATTTCCTGTCCTGAGAGACAGCCTAAGCAAGCTCTGGCGAAGTCGAACTTCCAAGCCTGTGTCGCGCTCAACTGCGCACCAAATTTCGCTTTCTCACGGTACGCATGGATCAGAGAAAGCTGACCCTCTATGAGAGTCTGGTCGAAAACGCGAATGAGCTGAAGATTCGAAATCCCTTCATAGGATCTGTCTTGAATCTTGTTGAACACGCCGGTTCCTCCCCCGAAAGGAAGCTTCCGGTCGTATTCGCCGTTCGCGTTGCAACTCTCTTTACTGAGGAGCATCAAGCGGCTCTGCCAATTACCGCTATGGCTGAAGGCTGTGTACGAGGCCCAGGGCTTCCCGTGCATTGTAGTCTTTTCCACCAACGCGCTGAAGGAGGAAAACCGTTGCTGACTAGGCACTTGTTGGGAAGTCCTTGCATCGAACCGTGCCACTGCTCCTGACCTGCCTACCTTCTTCGCTTGGGTAGATACGCGGCAAGGTCTTGAGAGGAAAATATTGCGGACGCAAGCAACTTCAACGCTTGTAGTTTGCAGGCACAAATTTAAAAAGAGCCCTAAGCTCGTGTCAGAGGCATGCACATGCGATCCTGCGGCAACATGAGCATGCACAGCTGCAAATGCACTGCAAACCCTAGCACAAGGACTCAAGCAGGAAACATGGCTGTGACAGACATGAAAATCCCTCGAGCTCATCCTTGAGCCAGGCGTTCAGAAAGGCTTTGTGTTCCAAAAGAGTCCGAAAAGGAGGATGAGAATCAATCTCCTTCAACCAACCATTTTTGACAGAGTCTAAAAGGTTCTTAGGGTTAGCGGATGTTAGCGGACTGTTTGGTAAGACAATCTGAAAGACAGCGTTCAGTACGGACGTGAGACAAATCCGAGATGGCACCTGAGCAAGCCTCCTTCCGGAGCATTTGAATCATATGAATGGTCTCCTGTTGCTCCGGAATGTGTGTCGTGGAGGCTGCGCTAACAAGGTTGTTAGCATCAGTCCGGATATGTATCTCAGCGTCCAGCCCTGTAATATCCTTCCAGAGACCCCGGAGCATCTGGCAAGTGCCGAAGCACTTCATCAGTGCGTACAACTCTGCTACGGTAGTACTGAGAGTAGTACGTTTGATTTTGGTGCTCTCAAAGAAAACCAGAGATCCCCTAGTATCCCGCTTACCCTTCACCCGGTCCTCGGCCATGAAGATGGTCATCGCACGCTGGGAGGATTTATCCGAGTTGTTACGAAAGGCAGCGTCAGGGATACCTAGGATTCTAGGTTTACTTTTAAGAGGCCAGATTCTCATGTCCGCAGGCTCCTGCTTGATTGACCTACAGAGCTTGTTCAGTTCCTTGCAGTTTCCTATGGTAGGTGACGCGCTAGCCGAAGCTAAACGAGAGAACTTGTAGCAAGCCTGAAACTGAGTTCGAGACTGCAACCAATTGATACTGCCAAGGAGTGAACGATAAGAAGTATGAAGGGCCTTGTCACACTTTACATCATCCTTCAAGTTCTTTGGAATCACGATCCCCTCAAGTTCAGAAACATTCAAGGACTGGTCAATGGAGATGTACTTCTTATTACCTTTCTCATCAAGGATCCATTTAACCCTTTGTCCTGTGAACATGAGGTCGTTGCGATCCTCGTGCCCTACTGTAAAACGCTTCTTGATTGACTCGAGGAACCAAGCCAAGAACTTAGGAGAACCGGTAATGATGAGATCGTCCACATGAAGACTCAAACAACCAACAGACAACCGACCTTTGCTGTTGCTGCCATGAACCGGGTCAACAAAGTGTTCAAGCAACTCATCTACCAACTCTGGAGTCAGCTGTGGAGTCTGGTCTGTGGCAAAAGCCTTCTTCTCTGGTAAGAACAGAGAGACCACAATCGCAGCTTCTTCCTCCAGGAAAACCGGTTTATTCTCAATCCTCAAGTCAGTGGCTCTCTCCAGAACCCACCAGGTACCTTGACGAAAAACAAAAGAGACACGAAAAGGAAAATCCTTAATACGGTAACTGGGTTCCGGACTGCGAAGAGCCTTGGCGCGATGAGCAACATTCGCATGACCACCTAGAAAAGGGAACCAGCCTTTGTCCTTAAGTCCCTTTTCCTCAAGGAAGGATAAGAGTTCTTTGTCTACCACAGGTCTCCACGCATAGTCAATGAGTCCCTTAGTAGTGGTAGCCTTCAAAGACTGTTCTACTTCTGGATTGGACCTCACCTTCGTCTGGTCGAAGGTCAACGGAGGTTCTTCACCATGAAGCAACGATCCCAACAAGGACTCTACCTTCTCTGAGGAGAAGCATGAGTTCTGGGGCACTGTCTCTGACTCTACCTCCTCTGAGGAGAAGCATGAGTCATGAGAGGCAAGTTTGGAAGAGTTGATCTTCACATTTTTGCCTTCAGTGCCTTGGTAGCACACGTAGGTGCACCTGTCTGCCCTTGTAGGTTCTAGGCCTATGGCTCTCAGGAACTTGTCAAGTCGGTTCCACCAACGCCTAGGAGCGTCGTTGAGGCCATAGACGGGTCTCATACAGAGCCCAACCATCCAAGGAGGCAGACCTATGTCGTTGGGGAGTTGTACAGCAACCGTTCGTTGCGACAAATTGTAGTGTTCCCCCTGAAGAAACGCAGTTTTAAGGTCCAAATGAAGCAAATCCCATAGGTGATCAGCAGCATGCTGACAAACCAGACGGAATCCATAGCAAGTAGCCGTGGGAGAATCCGTCTGTTGTTCCCATCCGTGACGGTCTTGGAGCAAGAGCAGAAGCAACAACAGTTGCATGTTTTCCTCGCTGAACTTGCCAACGGAAAACCTGGTAACACAAAGAGAAGAAATTTCTCTGTGCCACCTTATCTGGCTTCCAGGCATCTGGAACTTCAGCATAAAGCAAAACATGATCAGGATTGGAAGATTCAAGAACCTTCCAGACATGCGCTGTAAGCTTCTTCTTGCTCAAATCACCCATCACAATTGGAGGTGCAACCTTACAATTTTCTCGACTTGCCTGAGCACTCACTCCTGTGATCACAGGAGCAATCTCGAGAAAATCACACTTTCCAGATTCTAGCATGTGATAGCAGACTTCGTGTTCGCAACAAAAATGCGCTCCTGAGGATTCCTTATCTTGGTCCTTGGGAGGATCAAGAGGAATTGCAACATCATGCCACTCATCATGATCACGTCTAACCTTTGACTGATTCACTCGGTGAATAGCCTTAGGCGTCTGAACAGTGACCATGGCACCTTCCTGTGACACAACTTTAGCGCGAATCCAGGCTCCTTCTGCCTTCTTTTTGGATTCATCCTTATGCCAAAAGAAGACCCTGTCTCCAGGGGCACAAGGTCCATCAGAGGGCATGACTCGTCTGGCTAGGTCTCTACGGAGATCCATCGCTTGACGAGCTTCCTGGTGAGCACACAATGCAATTCGTTGGAGCTTCAAGTCCACCTCATCCTCATGAAGCCCCTTGGCCGAAAGGCGTTCAGGATTAGCAGTTTCAACATCAAACAGATCAGGAGGTCGCCGACCTGTGGCAATCTCAAGTGGCGAGTAACTCGAAACAGTCAACTGACAGTTACGCGCCCAGACCACTTTCTTGACTGCCTGACGGACGGTGACCTTCTCCATGATGTCCTCTTCTGCAAGAGATTTTGCCATCAAGGCCCATGATCGTTTGAAGAGTCGAACCGCTGTTTCCGCTCTGTTTGGCCAAGGCGTGCGAGAACCGCACGGGTATGGAGTAATTCCGTGAAACTTGTAGTAATCCATAAAAACATCCGTGAAAAAGGCAGTATCACCAACAACTCCTTTAGGAATACAGTTGTTTTCTTCAGTCCAATTTCGGAACGCGTTCAAAATTTCAGATGAGTCCAGAGTAGCCTGCGCCGTAGCCCAAAGAAGATTCGTGGCTCCGTCGAGCATCAACAAGACAAGGTAACTCTTTTGGCCTAAGTTGATTTCAGCATGATCAACAAAAACCAAGTCACCAAAAGAAGAAGCTCGGAGTCCAGAAATTCTGGCTCGCGGCGGACTAGGCACTGAAGTGTTACACAGATTGTCCTAGCATCGAGGTACGTCGCCTGAATTGCGTGGAGCTCATGTGGTAATGCTTGACATGAAGCTTGTAAAGCTCAACCTCATTCTCAGTCGCTCCAGCATCTTCTTGAAGGCAGGTGTCGCCTGTGACACTTCCTGTCCCGGAAGAGGCAGATCTATCCGCCTGGGTTCTGTATCTTCCCTTCCGGGTGCCGGGATAGGCTCATCTGGAAACAGGTCTGCCATTTTTGGCATTCCATTGAGAAAGGTTTCGGTTCCGATCCGGAGGGACCGCTTCCGACCTTCTCACGTCCAGGAGGCGCAACTGGAGTGCCCTCAGTCTTCTTCCTGATTCTGGACGTTGGTGCCTGAAACTTCTTGGCGCCTGACGATGACGAGTTTCCGGTGATTTGATCTTCCGGGTTACCGCGCCTGTTTGGCCCGGTGCTCCTAACAGAGATCTTCGTTGACTTACGCTCAAGTCCACCCGGTAAGATCTTAAAAACAGTTCTACCTTCCCACTGCTTTTCCGTACGGTGCTGGGCTTTGCCCAACGTACTTTTCCAGTCATCTACCTGACTATCCTTTGAACCATCGAAAAAGTCGAAACTAGTTTCCCTTTGGGAATCTAGGAATTCAAAAGGAATAAGAACAGTTGATTGAACTGGAACAAAAATCTGCGAACGTGCCTTCTTGTGGATCCTCATCAACTTCATCTCTTTTTCATCCAAGACCCACTCGTCCTCGACGGCGAAAGCGTCGACCGAGGTGCAGTTGCTCAAGTCATAGTTGATGGAACTGTTGACCAAGAAGCTCACATGGGTTCGAGGGAACTTGACGTTCCACATGAACGAAGCCAAATCCAGGAGGTCAAAAACTAAATGACTACTCTTGGATGTATTGAGCTCAAGGTTCTTAATTCCTAGAGGAGAGCTGTTGAGTAAGGCCTTCGTAGGAGAAAGATCAAGACGAAAACGCAAATTTCTCATCTGCGGAAGTGACATGAGGAAGGGAACGTTGCCCTGCTCCACAATGTCGAATTCAGTGGCTTGCTCAGCGTAATCCTTGTCGTACATGCAGATCACGACCTTCTCCTTGCACTTAGCCTGCTCGCTATTGGCGAAGGAGAACTGAGAGATCGATTCCTTACGCTTGTACCACAAGCCACAATGTGGACGCTGGTCCACATACTCCATGAAACTTTGCGCACCCTGCCTCGAAACCATTGCACAAGTGCAACCGAGGTCGAGGACCGCAAGTGTTGGCTGCATCTCCTTCACAAGGTAGCCCAGAGTGTCGTCGTTAGTTGTCCAACTAAATTCATTGGATTCCTCTGCTGAGACAGAGCTTTCCAGTTTTTCCTCAGTTGTCCAACCAGACTCTCTGGATACCTCTGCTGAGACAGAGCCTTCCATGTCATCGTTACTTGCACAGCAGAACTCCTTGGATACCTCTGCTGAGACAGAGCCTTCCATTTCCTCTGTCTGGCAACCAACTACGAAAAAGGTACTACCTATGGTAGGTGTCGGATTGGAAATTGAAGAGGTTGATTGTACTTGATTTTTGGAAGTATCTTCGGCCATGTTGGCTTGTTGATCGCCATCTTTTCCATGTTTTCCATGGCCTTTTCCTTTTCCTTTCTTGCCTTTTCCTTTCTTTCCTTTTCCTTTGAAGGCAAAGTACTCTTCATCTCCATCTTGATGCCATTCGCCTTGCCAGGGTTCATACCAGCCATTGTCATTGGACCACCACGTGCTATCGCTCCAGGTGTTGTCTGACGTTTGCCATGATTCCGAGGTGTCCTGGGCAGTATAATGAGATCTCTTTCCTTTGCGGCGAAAGAAGCGACGGGCTCTTTTGCCCTTCGCCTTGCCGCCTTTTCGGCGTCTCTTTCCTTTGCCAGTTCCTTTACGGACTGTTCTACCTTGGAATCTCCTCTGGAACCAGGATTCGTTCTCTTCGTCGTACACCCAAAAGGAGTCTTCGTAGGCGTCCAAGAAGCCTTCGGTGCCATCATCGTCATCTTCGCACCAAAAGCCGTAGCTGTCTTCGAGGTATCCTTCCTCAATGACGAGGAAACTTCTGTTGCCTGACGATCCCGAAGGCGCCAGGAGTGGATTGTCCACTGATGTCTTCGTCGTGCAGAAAAATCTCAAGGAAAATGTCCCTGAGCTGCTCTAGACAGTATTCTGAAAGGCTAAGGTTCCGATGTGTCATCAAAGACGTCAGAACTTGCCGTTGATCTTGTGTGAGGTCTGCCAAAGCTACAAATAGCAAGGCAACCAAGTTCTCTGAGATGGGAATTGTTCTTGCATGAGCTACTCGCCTTAGGACTTCATCAGCACCGAGTTCATCAAATTGTTCTTGAGTAAGTCCTTGGCCTTGAAGGAATGCTGCTACTTCAGGGTTCGCCACATCCTTGATGGGATTGTAAAGATCGTTCCACGAATCTCTCATCCGCTGAAGGCTCAGCTGGAATCTAGTCATCCAGCGAAGAATGTCTCCATTCCTCTGTGGATGTTCATGAACTGCTGGAAGCGATAGAGAAACACATTCTGGGCACCCTTGACAAAGAGGGGCCTCAGAAAAGACTTGAAGTACTGCACACCTGTGTTGGCATCCTTCAGCCTTTCTCTATCCAGCAAGCTCCTGTAGATCGCGGCATCACCTTCAAGACGGTTTCGAAGTGCTGGTCCTTGTTTTTCCTTCTCCAGCTCCGTGATGTCACACCAATCATCGATTGCGTCTTCGTAGGTGAACCAGCTGCCCCTACCATCGTAGGAGGGTGGTACTTTTGTCGTCACCTGCTGGAATGCCGAGAGTCGCTGTAATTCATTGAGATGTTTGTTTGAATTCACTGCATAGGCCGTGTTCTCATCATCATCGGCCCAGCCGTTGTCATAGTATTGGGCTTCATCCTCCATGGCTCTGGATACTCCCCGGATCTCTATCCGGCACCTCCTCTGAGGAGAAGCTTCCGGTTTCTACCGGAACTTGCCACCTTTAACTGGCTCTTTTCCGGGATCCTGGGGAGCTCCGCTACCACGCTGAGGTGTACGGGACGCTACGGGCCTACCAACACACAGCAGTGCAGGAGGCTACAGCCCGCAGGACTGTCCGCACCTTTTGACAGCACTCGCACGGTATACGACTTCGTGCAAGGAGTCTCATCTACACAGAACCCTGTGAGCCAGATATGTGCGGTACAGTCAGAGTTCATGCCAGGACATGTACAGAAACACCCCCCTCCCTCCCCCCAAAACCCTAAACCCTAAACTCTAAACCCTAAACCCACCCAAAAGCAGCCCTGAGGAGAGCTCGGTGCAGCTGCTGCAGCACAAGCTGGTCCTCGGTGGACCCGCGGAGCTGCGCCTGCAAGAGGCCGAGCCGATTTACTGGGTCCACTTCCCGAAGCTCGTCGGCTCGGGTTTAGGGTTTAGGGTTTGGGGTTTGGGGTCTGGGGTTTGGGTTTTGGGGTTTGGGTTTAGGGTTTCAGGGTTAGGGTTTAGGGTTTAGGGTTTAGTGGTTTATAGTCTCACGGTTGTGAAAAGCGCGTGGCGACCAGTCAGGAAGTGTGGCAGCTCTCTTATCAACGCGTTGATACATCTGCCTGGGGTGTGCCCACTTGCCCGCAACCTTGTCCTTGATGAGAAGTCGCTGGGCGCCTGCTGGCTGGAGGAGGGAACCCTAAACCCTAAACCCTATATCCTAAACCCTAAACCCTAAATACCTTAAATACCTTAATTCCTAGATACCCTAACCTCATCATACAATCTTCTAAAGCACGTAGGCTCGGGTCCACAGTCTGATGGCAGGTTTGGTACAAGGACTGGTGCCACGAAGCCTGCGACAAGGATAAGTTCTGGTGCCCACCTGTGCATGGCAATCTCCTACCACACCAGCCGATTGCCAACTACTCCGCACTGGCAGGCCACCTTCCGACCTTCAGGATTTGAGGGTTCAGGGTTCAGGAATCTCACGCTCCGTCGGCAAAGAAGTGATAACAGCAACTCGACTCTGTCCCATGCGACCTTGGGGGGTCGCAGCAGACCTCTGGACATAGGATAATGCTTTCCCCCTAAGCCCTAAACCCTAAACCCTAAACCCTAAACCTAGTTGCCGGGTCGGTAATGCTGGACGCACAGAGACTGTCTTGCCCCGAGCAGCGGAGAAACGGCAGCCAGGCTCGCAGCTGAACAGGCACGTGCTTTGCCTTAGATGGGGGTTTAGGGTTTAGGGTTTGGGGTTTGAGATTTAGGGTTTAGGGCTTAGGGTTTGAAATAAGGGACCCCTTATATAGACCCCCAAATAGTAGGATCCCCTTAAAATAAGGACCCCAATAAGGTACCCCGAATATCGTAAACCCCCAGACGTTTCCACACCGGAATGGAGAGCGCATACATGCACGCAGGCAAACTGGTGGGGATGTTCAGAAACCCCGAGCAGCGCATTCTGTCTGGCTACCGCGACGACTTCAACAACTTCGCCGCGGTCAACTACGCTGGGCACCTGCAGCAGATATTGGCCATGTATGCCAATGGAACGCTTGACATGGAGAGGTGCACCGACTCCCTACATGGGCTACCGAAGGTACCTTTGTTGGAGTTTGCGGAAGGCTGGAAGGGTGGCATGACGTATCAGCTGGTGGTCGAGCACCCGACGGCGCAGACCCTCGACCTCGAACGCCCGCAGATGACGCTCCAGGATGCAGAGGACCCCCTGGTTCTTAGTAGGGAATCAGGGAATTAGGGCCCTATATATACCCTTTAAGGGATTCCACAGGTTACCTCATTCCCTCAGCCCCTACTAAGAACCAGCCAGAGGAAGCAGCTCGAAGGGTGCGGGAAGGCTTCGCTTTTGTGGGCATCACAGAGGAGTGGGACCTGTCAGTGTGCCTGCTCCACAAGATGTTTGGGGGAGCTTGCCAGGCCTCGGATTTCGAGAATGCGAATCCGACCTCTGCAGGGAAGTCTGCGCATGTGGACTACGATACATCTGAGCTCATGGGCTGGCACGATGACGTTGATGGGGTGGTCTATGCTGCTGCCCTGGATGTCTTCCACAAGAACTTGAACGCCCTCAACGTCTCTCATGAGTCGTGCCGAGAGTGCTACAGCCACGCAGGGAGAGACCCTTCGTCAAGCACTTCAACTTAGTAAGGTGTTCTGGTGGGTGCAGTGGTTTAGGCTTCTATAGGGTTTAGGGTTGTTACTGCCCTTGGCCCTTTGGTTGCTTTTGGTCCAGACTGGTCGCGTGCAGACAGCGTGACGGCCGGCGCGCGCAGACAGCGTTGGGAAGAAATCGGACCGGGATGGGGGCTATTCGGACTGTTGAGGGTTTAGGCATGTTTAGGCTGGTCTGTCGATATTATGAATATACAGCCAAGGTACCTAGACTTCCAACTTCTATAGGAATGTGCCATATTCCTGGTATAGTGGCGTCATGCGGAGTTTTGGTTTTGCTGGTACTTTGGGGGTCCAGGTATTCGGCATGCACTTTAAGCCAAGGTGTGTTCGGCGCATATGGGCTTGAGTTGCTTTCAGGGTTTTTGGCTAGAGCCCTCAACCCTAAATCCAAAACCCTAAACCCTGAACCTTAGAGTCTGAGCCGCAGCCCCAAGTGCTCATCGGAGGATCCAGCCAGGGAGCACCGTGAGTGAGGATTCACCGCTCAGCTCCGAAGGAAAGCTACGACAGACCTGAGCATTCAGCGGCGCACGGCAACGCCCTTAAACGCCCATCGACTCCATAAACCTCATAATCAAAGTTCCATAAACCTTATAAACAATTCCATAAAGCCTTATAAAAATTCCATGAAGCCTTATGTCACAATTCCAGAAAGCCTTATACAAACTCCCGAATCTTCCACCCAGCCTTCAGAAGCAGCCTCCCAAGTGATTATAGCGCTCCATGGCCCGATGGATGACTTGCCGGAGAGCCAGCGGAGAGGCTCCTCCCGAGAGTGGGTTTAGGGTTTAGAAAAGTTTAGGGTTTCGGGTTTAGGGGTTTAGGGGTTTAGGGCTTAGGGCTTAGGGCTTCTACCCTATAGTTTGGGATGTTGCCCCTTATACTAACAGTCCTGCATTGGGATTCTCGTACCTCTTAGAATCCCTACTACAGTGACTGTTACTATACTGCTACAATCCCTACTCGTATTAAGGTGTATGAGAGCCCCTGTACCCTGACTGTAATATTGTAGTATATGGTCATTGGGTTACCAAGTGAACCTAAGATGGAGCGCAAGACTCTGTGCTCTGAAGTCATGCCTAAACCCTGAATCCCAAACCCTAAACCCTGAGCCCTTAACCCTGAACCCTAANNCCCTAAACCCTATACCCTAAGCCTTCCGAGCCCATATTTCCCGAGCATCTCGACCTCGTGGCTTTCGCTGGGGGGAGACCGCACTCGGTTTGCACATGCCCAGAACATTTTGCATAGTTACTGGTATACGATACCAAGTTGGGATCTTGCCCCCCTTACACTAGCAGTCCTTAATTGGGATTATAAAAGGACTGTTAGTATAGGGGGGAACATCCCAAGTAACAAGTCTGATACTTCTAAACGCTTGCGCGCAGCCGCCTCGGCAGTCGGGGCTGGAAACGCGGGGGGCCGCACCAAGGAGCGGTACCAGGAGGGGG